AATGCTCCAACATTGTCGAGATTCGTCGACCATTACGAAAATTGGATTTTCTTTCAAACCACTCACTCTTTTTCAATGAAACAAATTTTCCTTGAACTCTAAATCCTTAAGAAAGATTTTGACATAAAATGGAAGTCCAGAAGATTTTTATTTATTTGTCTAGAATTTTCGCAAGTTGGCAGTAAAATAGATTTTTTGGGCATAGTTTTTAAAATAAGAAAGTTGGTGAGAAAAAAAGGTCAACTAGGGGAAATTTTCCACTCCTCTTGGGATGAAAACATGATAAATAATATGTATTATACTTAGAAATTTAAGGTGCATGTGTGCCTTTGGAAATTTTGAGAGATTGATATAGAAAAAGGTAGTCTTATATATCTGAAATGAATGTTTAAAACTTATAAGAGCATATTTTTGAAAGGAAAAATAAGAGAGAGTTGTGTTGTGGCTTACTTGATTGCCTAGTGAAGTGTTTACATAATTGTCTCCTCTTTCCTTACCTCTACTACCAAAGTTCACTCTCTTCCTCTTCTTTCTTTCTCTCAACTGAATGTGTAAGTGTGTGTGAGTGTATGAGATGTGTAACATGTGGAGGGTGGTGGTGTTTTTATAATAAAATTGGTGTAAAAGGTCCAAAATGCCCATTGGTTGGAATGGAATGGAATTGAGATGTCTTTAATTGGAATGCAATGGAATGAATGATCATTAGGGAGCCTAATCATATATTAAGGAATGATCTAGTTAGGGTTAGACTTAAGTAGAACCAAGATAGTTACAAGTACAAGACAACTTTCCTTGATTTGGGGGTACCAATGATACTTTTTCCATGATTTAAGGGATTTGTCTCTAAAGTACCGATGATTGTAGCCTAGAGAGGGTGATGGTTGGCCATGTGCTAGATTTGGGAAGATTTTTGTTGATTTTATATATAGATATGAAGATATTTGTGTATAAAATTATTTATTTAAGAAAGGTACAAGTATATATATGTATATATGTGTGTAATGGTACTAGTTTGGGGTCAAAATGTGATTTAAGAAAAATATGAGGGCATTGGGTTTAATTTATGAATTGGAACATTTATTTTAGTGTAGAATTAAATTAAATTGGGGTTAGAGAGTCTAATTCGGTTTGGATTTCTTGTTTCGAACAAAAACGCGATCAACCGACAAACGTGATAAAGACCGGAAAAGCCTAAGGTTTCCAAGTGGTAATTTCATATTTAGGGAGTCAATTAGAGTATTAGAAATTATTTCTAAGTTTCCGAAATTGATTAGGGTTTGCAGTTTTTTTGTTGGCGCATGTATTTTGATCCTAGGGTTGCAATTAAGAAACTGAGGGACGTCAAGAAAATAATTTAAAAGTAAGGGATTTTTAAGAAATTAAAATTTTCAGGGGCCTTACAATGGCCTTTTGGTTACAATGTTTTATTGATTAGTGGATGTTTGAGATTTGCTTATTTTTTGAGATTAAAATTTTCAGGGGCCTCACAATGGCCTTTTGGTTACAATGTTTTATTGATTAGTGGATGTTTGAGATTTGCTTATTTTTTGATCTATTGACTTTTTATGTGAAGATGTGAAAAAAAATAGAGAAATTATGTGACAACTTATAACAAATAAGCAGCTTATTTAGCAACTTTCCAAACTTTTACTATATGAAATGGTATAATATGAAATTTTTTTTAAAATATTTAGTTTTTGTTTTATTCACTCAAAAAATAATAAGAACAAAGGCATGTGAACATTTTTGTTCGGATTTTTATTTATTTTAAATGATTTTTTTAAATTTAATTAATTTTTTTAGCTTTTTAAATTTATCACTTGCACATGACATTTTAAATGGAATACCTTAAATGATATCATGAATTTGTCTAGTTTGCTTTTTAAAAAAAGTATTTAAGAGTTTTTAAAATTTTTATGAACTTATTTCATATTTAAAAAAAAATGATAGGTACTTTTGGTTAAGGTTTAAATTGGAAAAATAAAAAAAAGGAAAAAAAAAAGATAATGAGAGTTAAGTGCTATAATTTTTAGTTTAAGATAGCAAAATAATATAAAATAATAGCTAAGGGATTAAAATATAATTTGTCAAAATTTATATTAAAATATAATTTGTCAAAATTTTTACTTTGCTAATCTGTATATATGAATAAAAATTTAAAAAATAAAATAAAATAAAACAAGCCAAAATAAGTAAAAAAATCAACTCTTTTTTGAAATATTTTTGTCTATTCTGGACTTACTTTTAATTTTTTTAAAAATATTTTTCTGATTGCTCTAATTGAGTAGAACCCTAATTTTTTTTGAAAAATCAGTTCACCAAAGCAAAAATAAGTAAAAAAAAAAACAAAATATAAATAAACCAATACATGAAAAATCAGCCTTTTTCGTGTAGTTGAATAAAAAAAAACTGAAAAATTACAATAAAATAAAATAGGCCAAAATAAGTCAAAAAAGTCAAATTTTTTTGAATTATTTGTCTTTTTTGGACTTGTTTGCTTGCTTGCTTGAATTAAAAAAAAAAATTTTATTTTTCTAATTGTTGTAGCTTAGTAGAACCTAGCAAAAAATTTACTAAAAGCAAAATAAACCAACAAAAAAATCGTCAAAAAACTAAAACCAAAACACCCTCTAAACATGGAAAATTTAGGATATATATTTATTTATTTATGGATCTATGTAAAGAATATTAAAATCTTTGAGTTTTCATTTTCCTTCACTTTCTCACCAACCAAACAACACAAGAATAACACAACTTATAAGAAAATTTCAAAAATTTAAGCCAAAGCTCAAGAAAAATTTAGATTTAAATTCTAAATCCTAAACCCTAAATCGAACGCAGATTGCAACTGTTAGATTCAACCTCAGCCTATAGAATTCACACTGAAAATTAAAATTTCATGCGAATGCCTCTATCAAGAATAGATTCAAAGCATAAGATGTATGAAAATCGAATTGAAAAGTACCTGAAAATGCAAATTTATGTTGGCGTAGATTGAACTCTGATGAAAGTTCTTAAACTCCGAAGTTTTCCATTGCAACACGAAACTTCTTGAACTCCAAATGCAAGGCAAACTTCTTGAACTCCAAATGCAAGTCTTGCCCTCCAACACCACTATCTTCACACTACACACGGGATAAAAGCACCACAATGACTTTTTGATTCTACAATACATTGAAATTATCCCGATGCAATGATAATACCTAAATGTAGATTGATAGGTATGACACAAATTGATGATGAAAACTAATTAGAATGGAACTAATCAAATTAGAATAGAACTAAATGGTGTGTTTGGTTTGCGTTTTAAGATAAATTTAAAAATAAAAAATTGAAGAGAAAGTTTAGGGCCTTGTTTAGTTTCGTTTTGGGAGATAAATTTTTTTTAAAAAAATTGGAGAAAGACTTTAAATTTTTTTTTGGTTTGTTTTGTTATATATTTTGGAAATAGTTTTAGAGTATGGGAGTTTAGAATAATTTGATATTTTGTTATAATTGAGATGTGTTTGAGAGAAAAAAATGATTGATTGATGTGTAGGTGATAAAAAGTGATTTTGATTTTTTTTTTTTTCAAAATTACTAAACCAAACAAAATTTTAGTAAATTTTCTCAAAAATTATTTTTTTGGTTTGTTTGATTGCATATTTTGAAAATAGTTTTGGAGTTTGGAATGATTTGATATTTTGTTATAGTTGAGTAGATATGTGTGAGAAAAAAAGTGATTGAAAAGGAAAAAGAACAAGAAAAAAATGATTGATTGATATATAGGAGAAAGAAAGTGATTTTGGAAAAAAAATATCAAAAAATTTGAACTAAACAAAATTTTTAAAACAAATTTCAAAAATTATATTTTTCTAAAAAATTATATCTTAAAATATAAACCAAATAAGTCCAAAATATTATTTGTTAAGCAACCTATATATATATATATATACTAGGGTATGTCCGTGCCTGAAGGCACGGTGACCATTAATTGAATATAAAATTATTGGGTTAAAATGTAATTTATTTAATTTGTTGTGAAAAAAAATTTGAGGTGAAAATATAAATAGATTATCCGTATGGTTTTGTATTTTCAAATGAATTTTATAATTAGATTTTTGAAAAGAGTTTGGAGTATGCAAACAAAGATCATATCACCAAATATTTACTATTGTAGTATTTTTGTTTATGTAACCCACTTGCAATTTGTAATAGAAAATAAGCATTTTATTATCCTAGCCAATAACAGTACCCAAATAAATTTCTATATCCACATTTTCTTAGATAGTGAGTTTTGGTTGAGTAAAGAAGAGAGATCTCAAAGCTATAGTTTTGCATCAATTTTAATGTAATGGTTAAAATCTACCAATTTTTACGATTTGGTGGTCAGTTTATTGTGCAGAAAATTAAATAAATAAAAAATAAATAAATTGCATACTGCTTGGTGAATAAATCAATTTGAACATAAATTTTCCAAATTTATAGGTAAACGAAATAGTGAAAAGTAAACACATAATTGCTACGTAAAATTCAAGCACAATAAAAGCATAAGATTTTAAACAAACAACAAAATGTAAATCCCACAACACAGAAACATCTATATAAAAATCAGACGAAATACGCCAGCCAATGCTATGCAATAGAAAAAAATAAACAACAAATTAAGCACACCAGCCAATGCTCTGCAATACAAAAAAAAAAAGCCAAATAACAAATTAAGCACACCAGCCAATGTTCTGTAATACAAAGAAAATGCAACACCCTTCCTGATAAAAAGATAACCAAATAAAAATATGATTAGTTTTGTTTAACCTAATTCAAGAGCATATTAGGAAGAAAAAATAAAAAAAATATATATCACCTAGTGTGTTACATTTACAAAAACAAACTCATAGCATAAATCAATAATTCAAATGAAAATGATCTAACATACATCTAAACTTAGTTATAAATTTCACATAGATAAAAGGCTTTACAAAACTATTGTAAGTAATAAATTTCACAACGATCGGAAACTTTACAAAATATGGATCGTAGCTAGCATATGTATGCTTTTCACAAAAATAAATATGAGATTCAAACTTGTTCTTTCTTAGAAATCCTAGGAGCGCCTCATCACTTTCCAAAAAGTCCTCATATCAACTTGTATGTATCCCCAGTGAGGAGCATGCACGACAATCTATAATTTATGAAAATAAAAAAAAGTTAGTAGATTAGCAAAAGAAAATTTATATATATATCAAAACACTTTCAAATTGAAATTACCTTGTTACATCCCCATCGAAGCAATCTAGTTGTATTTATATTTTTGAGCTCCATATATTTTTTAACCCAATCCTACAAAAGTCGACACATATAGTAAAATATTTTAAAAATAACAATTTGTAATCAATAGAAACAAAGTTATCAAAAAATAAATTGTACCTTTTGACAAAAGTGGTTTGATCCATAAGTAACACTATAACAAAATTTCAGGATAAACAATGTTTGTAGTAGAATCTGGCTCATCATTGGGAAGGAGGACACTTATACGATCAAAGGATGTGCATCTAGATAGGGCCACATACAATTGCCCATGACTAAACACTGGTGTGCGCAAATCAACTCCAACAAATTTCACAGATGGCCCTTGAGATTTATTAATGGTCAGGGCATATGCCAATCGAACTGGAAATTGACGTCTTGTCATTCGAAAAGGCATTTCTGAAGAAGACGGTGTCAAGGATATCCTTGGTATGAATACCAAATTGCCACATTTTTCTCCATTTAAAATTTGAGCTTCAATTATGCGAGTATTGCATCTAGAAACCATCAATCTTGTGCCATTGCACAGTCCATCTTTTGGTGCAATATTTCTTAACAACATTATAGGACAACCCACTTTCAACTCTACCTTAAAAGCCGGTATCCCAGGAGGATCTAATGAATTTAAATATTCATTAGGATATCTATTTATTATAGCACGATCAATTTCATCATCTTCAGACATCTTGTCTGCTGCCAAATAAGTATGTGTGTTGCTGGGAAAAATATTCAATGCTGCAGTATTGATAGCACTGACATCATCATTCCGTGCAGAAAGAATTGTACGTTCAGTTAAAAATGTTGCAGTCGATGTCATTGCCACATCCAGTTGCGGATAAACTACTGAGATTATGTCTTTTAGATCTTGGCATTTGTGTATTGTTGATGGAAGTTTAACAATTTCCTGAGGATTGGTCCCAATCTATTCATAAAAATAAATAAATAAAATAGTAAGTAAAATCAATTAAAGTACATAAACGTAAATATATTTCGTCAATTTAAAAGAACCATATAATAGAGAAAAATTCTGAAGAAATATTACCTCCATCAAGAATTTTGCAAAATTAGCATTTTCAAGATTTGCATGATTCAAGCGCATGTTCAAATTTAAAGACAGAACATGTATATCCTTCCATAGAAAAAGAGTGTCTTAATGATGCATTCACAATTTGCTCACGGACTCCTTTAGTTATAACTGGTAAGATTTGTCGAAAATCTCCACCAAGAACAACAGTGATACCCCCAAATGGCTTTTCACTATCACAAGTGTCCCGAAGTGTGCGATCAACTGCCTCAACTCAATGTCTATGCTGCATAGGAACTTCATCCCAGATTATAAGTTTTGTTTCTCTAAACAATTCTGCTTGTAATGATTGCTTGCTAAATCCACAAATTGAATTTTCCAATACATCCAACGGAATGGAAAAAGTTGAATGAGCAGTACGACCTCCTACCAATAACAATGATGCAATTCCAGATGAAGCCACAGTAATAACAATATGGCCAAGGTTGTGACACTTTAATGCAATCGCATTGTACAAAACGTTTTCCCTGTTCCGGCACCTCCATTCAAAAAGAAAATAGTTCCTTTATTTTCAAAGACTGAGGAAGTGATTACATCATAAGCTGTTCGTTGATCATTGTTGAGGCGATCAATAATAATTTCTGCATCTGTCTGTTGTGCCTCATTATGCAGTTGTTGATGTTCGAATATCAACCTATTACCAACTACTGCACTCCAATTTGTAAAAGGTTGTGGCATTAGCGGGAAGTCAATTAAACTTTTTCCTGATTCTTGGAGCATTTGATTCAAAAGATATAAACCATAGTCTTCAATTTGAGCCTCAGTTGGTTCAGAAATGGCAAACAATGTTCGAATCTTATGTGCAAGATCATCACATATATACATTGAAAATTGATTCCATAACGCATATGGTTGCAGTGGAGAGCACTGAATAAGAATAATAGTAAACAATCTCCTTAATTGATAACCAGTTTTCATAACTGTAGCCTCTTTAAGGCATTGTATCCATTCTTCATCATCTTCTAAAAGTCCTCTTGCAACACATGCTGATTTAAATGTATCATGCAAAACATTGTTGACCGTGCGTAAACATTGAAATGATTTTGGTCCTTTGACAACAGTTAATAGCAAACGCAAATAAAATCTCTCTCCACAATTAGGGTTAGCAAAGTACATTCTACCGATTGCATAGCCCTGCTGCCTTGGTTTCCATCTCTTTTCTGAATTAAGCCAAACAAAATGTTGTGGAAATTCCTGGTAAGTGAATGGACATTCATCTTCCATAGAAGCACAACATGCAAAAAAACCAGTAAGAGTTGACATTTGTTGGCCAGCTCTAGAAGCAATTGCTTCTAATGATTCATCAGGATTAAAAAGAACGCGGTGCATTCCAGGTAAATGAAGTGCTAAGCGTACAACTTTTGGTATCTCTGCATGCAATGGATAACCAAATATTCGCCAAGCAGCTTCTGGAGGTCCAATATACCTCGCATCGAGATATTGTTGGATCTCATTTATCAATCCTAACACCATCGTTGTACGATCATAACCCTTATAAATGTACTTGTGTATATACTTGACGCATCTCATTCCGGCACAAACTTCCACATTTATGTGACAGTTGAAACGTTTAGAAAGATATGCATTGTATGGTACGATGTCTCTGTTATCAACTTCTTTCCCCCTCACAATATGAGCTTGACCATTATTGTGACGACGATAGATAGGATATCCATCTTGATCCATAGTAGTTGTTTCTGCGAATGCTCAAGGGTATCTCTTAGTGCATTTACCATTTTCCATACGTGGTGCTTGTGGATTTCGAGCACCACATGGTCCATGTACCGTACAACACTTGATAGTTTCAAAAAGCATAGGTTCATCTTTTGGATCTGGAAATTCTGCACAAACCAATTTGTCTACTTGAGCACATGTTCAAATTTTGTCTAAACCCTTAAGAAATAGAAGTGCATGCATATGAGGAAAGCCTCGCTTTTGGAATTCAATTGTAAAAACATGCGCAACTTTATTACCAAACACTCGGTTTGTTTCTATCTCCTTGATCAAGCACTTTCTCTTTAACTCAAAAACACAGGCAATTAAATCAGGACGATCAATAGGCTTTTGGTGCGGTAATAATACCGAGTAATTTCTGGCCAATTAGGATTTGCAATCATGGTGAGAAAAATGTCTGGATGTTGGTTGTATTGTGTGATAGCCATTGAGTCTTGAAAGATTTCAAACATGTGTCTAGGACCTCCAGCAAATGAAGATGGCAAAATAAACCTTTGACCAATTTGATTGGGTTGAAGGCCATTTGGATCAATATCTGTCAAATCTTGGTAAAGTTCAGCACGGATCTTCCCTTGATTAAGCTTGTAGTAAGTCAACCTATTTTGTTCAGTTGCGGCCCAAGCATCAACCAAAAACTCTTGGAACAGTTTTCCAGCTCTCAAAATTGTTAAATACTCTGTGGGTCGTTCAAACAAACAATAACTGTAAAAATCCATTTGAGTAAGCCGATCAGTTGAAGGCCGATCACGTTCAACATCCCACAGTTTCATCCCAGGTTCCCATCCAAGCTCACCATGTGGAAATAATAAAACATAATGTAATGGCAAATATGCTGGGTGACATTCATTGATTTGCATTAGCTCACCATGTAGATGTAAGATAACATCTCTCATTCCACTAACCTTGGTTCCATCACCTGGTATTACAACTGCAATCTCATCTGTAGTTGGTAGGTTATACCGTCGTCGATCTGTCGATGAACTGTAGTGGAGATGAGCAGGCAAATTTCGTCCTGTCAAGGCTAATTGATTCAAAATTGCATGAGGCTGGCGAAATTTAGCAACGAATGCATTAACCTGTAATAAACTATCTTGAATAGTTTTTAGAACATCTCTTCTTAATTGAGGATTTCTACAATTGCGAACTTCTAAAGCTGCATCAGGGTCATAAATGTACAATTGCGCATAAGCTGCATCTTGCCTTGATTGTGGTAGTAGTGATCCTGTTTGATGTCGCAATTCCCCATGGATAGTGAATGATGTAGGGCCTCTTCCAGTAAGTACTCTTGGATCTAATGTAGCACCAAGACTTGTAAAAGCATTGGTTGCATTGTACACTCGAGTATAACGTCGAAACGATTTTGATTTATCATCATTCCCATCATATAATGCTTGAAGAAGTGAAGGGGGTGTAATAAGCAGAGGAAGCTTAACCTTCCCTTTTGAACAACATGTTCCGAATAGAGGACGGTTTGGAGATGATTTTACTAATTTTTCATCCATCCAATGTAATGCTGAACAGAAAGGACATAATACATCCATCTTGCCAAGAGAATGACGACATGAATTTATATGTGCTCGAGTACCAACCATTGGACTCATAGGCATATTCTCTAATTCCTCATCAGTACATAGATCCTCTTGAAGGGAAGGAGTTGTAAGAGTAGGCCTACAAATATTGGTTCTGTGTAAATTAAAATAGAATGGTAATAGTA